CGTCAACGACCCCAACGGCCGCCCCCGCCTCGCCAACGGCCGCTCGCCAGCTTGGGCCTGCCGCACGCAGAGAGGACTTGGTGTAGGACAAGGGAATAGAAACGGCCGAGAGTCAAGAGGGAAGAGTGCTTTAACTCACAGCTGGTGGCAGCAGCAAATGCGAGGTGGATGTGTTAAGACAGAAACACCATTCACACACACACACACGCACACACACAGAGCAGTTGTGTGCACTTAAAACTCCTTAAATCCTCTCCCTGGCCCCATATATTTACAGCCAACTGACCTGCCCCGGGGCTGCCAGAAGCGAGCCCAAAGCTGCAGCTGCCCTGGGGGCTGGCTCAGCCCACGAAGCACATCTCGGATACAGTGCCAAGCAAAGGGCTCGGATCAGGCAAGCACAGGCACTGGTGAGCAGCCCCTGCCAAAGTCCACAGAGGGAGGGAACAGAAAACATCTTCAAGGAGTGAGGCTTGTTGTTGTACAGTGACAGGTCAAGGAGAAAGTTCCGAGTTGAGCTGCTTTTCTGTACCAAGTCAAAATAACTTTTTGTGTTAAAATACTCCGTAAACGGTATTGATGGCTGCCAAGCTGGCATTACTATGATATACACCTAACAGAAGAATTAGTAATTCCATAACTAAATGCTACAAGCTCCAAGTTAATGCTCCTGAGAGATAACTTAATCTTTAAATACTTGTACTATTTCCTAATATGTAAGTTACTAATATGGACAACCCAAGCAAATAAGTATTCTCCATCTGTACAAGGCACAGCTTAAAAAACCAGAGGCTCTCCTGGGGTTCCTTCAAGGATTGCCCAAGCCACAGCTTGGTCACAACTACCCACATGTCACCCCCATCACCTCCTCCACTCCCTGAAGACTCCCCAGGCCCCAGCGGGACGGTGACAGACGTCTGCTAGGCGAGGTGATCCCCCCCACGGAAAGGGGCACTGCCACAACTCCTGCAAGCACGATTTACTCCATACCAGTCACATACAAAGGGCACAAGGCCCATCATTACCAAGGTATGTCAGCTGAGGAGAAGGTTTTGGATATAACATATGAACATTCTGCAGAGGAGACTAATCTCCAATATGCCACAGCAAACTAAATATTATTGGATATTTAGCAATCATTGTCTTGTGCTTTCATAGAGACCCATTTAAAAAGTTGCCAGTAAATTATACAATAGCAATCCTCCAGGCTACAGTTAGTTAAGAAAGGGATTTAAGTGCAACACAAATTAGGATTTTAATCTAGACTGGCCGATTTATACTGACAACAGCCATATTCATTCTGAACTTTAATTCTGCAGTTAGCAAAAAAACAGGGGGGAAAGAAAAAAACCATTTTTTTTCCCTGACATCTTAACTCTGGAATAGTAAACTCTGAAAAAATTAAAACTGAAAATCTAAAGTAAATTTAACATTGTCTCAAGATAACCAGAATACTCTTCAATACTTTTCAGACTAAAAAAAAAAAAAAAAGAAAGAAAAAAAGCAGTTTGACTCAGGCTGCATTAGAGAAAACAGCTCTTTGTAAAACAGAAATTCATTTGGGGCAGAAAGTTAAAAATATTTAGCTAAGCAAAATAACACTGAGAACAAACAGCACCTTTTGTATGTTTATGTTTGTTGAATTTCTTACCACTTTTCACTGCAATTAAGAGAAAGAGACTGAACTTAACTTGGTAGGACACTGGATTATAAAGGATCACTCAACTAGGCTCCAACCCTTCTCATTTCCTCTCTCCCGCAAAATACAGTATTTGGAAAAATAAGCAGTGTTTATTTACTAACAATGACATAAAATACATCTTAATATATTTTTATTTCTTTACAAATTAAAAGATGCATTGGAATAAACAAATGAAGAAAATGTAAGGTTCATTTATGATTTAATTTCCACCCCCCAATATTAATACTAGAAATTAGTATTGTGGAAGTCTGTGGTTGCTGAGCTTTGTATTCCTGGGAAGATGTTGTTTCTCTGGTTAAAAATCCTCTAGATTTTTTTGGTTGGAGGCAGTCTATGGAGTAAAAAGTCAGCCACACTCATACAAAAAAAAAAAAAAAACACACACACACACACGAAACAGAAGGTTCTGTCAACTACATCTTGAAAGAGTTTCTCTATTACAGTTTTCATAATCCCCTTTCTATGTAGTGATGGGAGGGAAGACAAACTAGCAGCATTAGAGGAAAAATGGATTTATATACACGCTTCAAGAATCAGGACTAAAACCACAGCCAGATATTTTTCTGAACTTAACAAAGACCCTCCTCTGAAATGTCAAGCCCAGATAATATATTCTCTAATCCATCCACATTCTCTCACTTTTAGTGCTATCTCCAGCTCAAACTTTCAGGTATTGTAAGAATACCTATTAAACATTCAAGCTAAAATATAAACCTCCTTTCAAATGTGAATAAACAAAGCCCTTGGAATTATGGATTTGATTTACACTCATTCCCTCTGTGCAGGAGTCTTCTCATCCACTGTCACAGAATGGAGCAGCAGAGGAGCCAAAGTGGATGGATTAATCTGTCTGAGGTATTTTAGTTTAACAATCAGGCTTATAAAAAGGTTTTGTGCAGGCTGATCAGTAGGTTTAATGGGGGAGGGCATAAACGTCCAGTGATGAAATTCTTGGTGTCCCCGATCCTTTCTAAAAACTGAACCTAGGTACTTGCAGTACCTACTACAGTGCAGTCTTTACCTTAGGTTTTCGTTTACCCTTCCAAGGTGCAAAACAGTCTCGAATTTGCAACAGTAAAGCTCAGTTTATGCTTGTTTGCTATGATTCACAGCAGTATGGTTAAAACAGACCGTTTCTTATCATCCTGTTCCCACATAGCTCCACATCGCCTTGTTAAAAGTATTTTCTGCTTAACCTTAAGAGGCTTTTGTTCCCACCACCATCTGGATAGATAGGTAAGCTCTGCAGAAAAAGAGAGGCCATGGAACACAGACTGGTAGGACAACGTCAGGGCTGTGCAAGGAGAGAGAAAGGAGCCACCGTTCACTGTGGCAGGAAGCACCGACCATACCCCTAAGCTATTCCGAAGCCACTGACTGTTGCTTGCTGAACAACTACTCCAGTAGAGATCTGCACAGTAACTCTTAACACAGGCAATGGAAGGGGATTTGTCCTGCTACCTCCTGGCTTACCACTCAATTTCCTTTTTTTAAGGATTTCTGGTCCAAAGGGCCACATGATGCACTTGTGCTCTGCAACGTCGCATTTCCTGCTTAAAAAGAGAAGGGAAACTGTTTGGCTGCTCCAGCTCCCATCAGCTGACCTGCTTCTTGTCCTCCCCACCTGTGTCCTCTTCACACTTGGAGCATGCACACGCGCCCATACAAACACACAGCAACTACCAGAAGTTTTGAAGAGTTATCGCTTTTTCACCCAATGTTGAATCATGTACAGTGAACTGAAAAAAACAAAAACAAAAACAAAAAAAACAACCCTACATTCATTAGGACAGGATTAGCGAGCATGGGAGGGGGGTGAACTCCTGCCAAGCACAGGAAATGATTTAGATACAAGTAAAAGACCTGGTATCAAAGGCCTTTTTTTCCGGCTCTCACCAGGAAAAAATTTCATCTCTCAAATAGGGCTGGGAGAGATTGAAAGGATTTCTGCTTATGCAACATGTATTAAAAATTATGGAATTGTACAGATTTCTATGCTGTCCTTTTTGAGGGCGCTGCGCTGGGCCTTCTGATCAGGTGTTTAATTGAGACTGAAATGTCACTGCTGAGTCCCAGCATTGCTCCCGCCTCTAGCTTAGTAGCTGCCGAATCTCCTTGTGCATGTGACACAGGAAGTCCACATATGAAGCCCCTCCACTCAGGCTCTTGTCCTCCACTAGAAAGTGTTTGAACAGCATCTCCAGTTTATCTTCTTGCTTCAGAATTATTAACTACAAAAAAAAAAGGGGGGGGGGGGGGGAAAAAAAAAATTAGCAATTTTTTCCTGGAAAAACAGACAGCAGCATATATGGTTTATGTTTATGTACTTCTTGTTGTACTAGTACTATATTTGTACTTTAACTTCTGGAACTATTTAAAAGAAAATACCATATTCAAGGTTTGTGCGTTAGTATGTCACAACAGGTTTGAAAATTCAATTCTTATGCAGATAAGCAGTGTTATTCACTTTCAGTCAACAGTAAACAGATAAATATCAGTCTGGAGACCAGGATTCTGCTACTTTATGGCTGACTTCCATATTTAATATTAGACCTTCTGTTTCCCCTTCTGAAAAGGCAGAAGAAATATCCATTTTACTTTTGTGAAGCCTTGGGTCTAGAAGAAACACGGTCTAGAAGAAAGGATGAAAATATAATAAAGGGAATTTACATTAGTTATGTGACACAAGCCAAGTAGCAACCTGGATTGTTTAATACATTCTCTGAACATTTTAAGCTCCTAATCAGCTAACTTGACAGCATCCGTTAGAGTGCTTGCCAATACTGCAGAGACATTTCTGTATCAAATCAGCCCACTATGCACCTTCGGAGCCTCTTTGCATGAACAGCTCATGCTAACCTATGTCATCAAAAACATGTCCAGGGCTAGTGCCCACAGACAACCTTAACTGTGAACTCCAATTTTAATTTGGATTGAGTAATTTGCATTTTGTTTTCAAAACTTTTGTAAAAGCTCACTGAGGTAAGGTTAGTACATGAAGTCCATAAATCTACAATCTTAGCACCAAAGTGGGGAGGGCTTACTGACCAACAGGAAACACGAATTTGTCAAAACTGTCCTTTATGATACCCTCTCCTAATTTTTCATCTGTAAAGATTGCTTAAAAAGC